TTGTCATCAGTTGAAACTGTCGTAATACAGTTTTGACTCCAGGTTCCTTCATGCCTCCCATTCTGTGCCTGTGGTCTCCTGCCCAGATAGCAGAAACTCTGCTTCCTATTCCAGTCCCCAGCACTGCTATCACCATTATTCCCTATTGATTTGTTTTTATGTCAAAGAGCAGCCAAACATTTAGCAACATCAGCGCCACATGTTGAAAAATAGGCTCCTGTACAGCACAAACTGGATAAACATTAACCATAAGAAAAAGTCAAGTCAAATAGAGTCCAGTGCAGTGGTGGCAGCAGGTTTGCTTTGTGAGAGAAAAGTACAAAATRTCAGTTTGCCAGAGGGGACAGATAAATATTTCCATCACAGGTACATGTGGCTYTTGGTCAAAGACATATGAATGTCTCCTTTGGTCAAGGCTATTAAAAATTCTTTTATAGTGTAATCCTTGGATCTTTTAATATATCTGTAAATATCGTGTGTATATAGAATTCCAGCTGTAAACTTCTTTAAGTGGATTTCTGGTTCTGAACAGCCTGGTCTTTTTCCAAACTACAGTAGATAGCTGGTTTCTCCTGCCTTTTTTATAGAAATATAATTCTGTAAAAAATAAAATAGCATTTAGCTTGAAAGTGGGGAAGTGAAATAATTCAAGACCGATCAGGATTCCCATGAAAACACAAATTTTCTGCAGGAATATTCTCTTATAACTCTTCATTCCAGAAAAAAATCTTTTTTTGTTAAAATTGTCCAGCCAGGTTAAGTTTCCAGATGCCTGCTTCAAAATCTGTTAAGTTGGATGCAATTCTAAATATGCAGTGGTAAAAAAAAAGTGCTCTGATTTATCCTTCCTGTAAACTTCGGAACTGTACCAATTTGTGTGTCATGTTGGCCTAAGTCATGATTTGATCCTGATTGTACACTGAATTGTTTTGCTGGGTATTTTTTTTTTTTTTTTGATGTTTTGAGCAGAATTAGCTCACAAGGCATGGGTCTACTTAGACTTGAAGACTAAAACCATATGTGAGCCCTGCATTTGTACCCAGCTGGTGCCCAGATTTGCCCCCCTGATTGGCCTAATATAAAACAGGAGGGTTGGGCCCTACAGTTTAGTTGGCTTTTGTTTCCTTATGTGAGTGTTTGCAGCATTTGCTTGGTTGTTTATATCTCATGAGCCAAAATTTGTTTCTGTTGGTGACAACTGTGAATAGTGTGATATGTTATAAGAAGATTTGACCTTTGACTTAAAATCAAAGGTATTTTGATAACAGCAATGGAGCATAGTATAAATATTAACTGTTAAGGTAAACAATGTGGTCCTGAATGATGTATCTTCTTTTGTAAAAGTCCACCCCTTAGTTACATGCATTTTCTGTTCTGCTTGTCAGCTGAATATGTGTTCCAGAACTAAAGAAACCTATTTTTTAAAAAATGGACTTTATTCCTGTAAATGTGGCCCTCTTTATCTTTTTGCATAAAATACTCAAGGGCTGAATTATTTTAAAAATTGGATATCTTGCCTTTCTTTATTGCGTATTTCCAAAATGACTACTAATACCTACTCTTTTATCTGTGGGGACATGGTACAGACTTGCACAGTAATTCACTCAGAAAAATCAAACTAAAGATCTTTGCTGATTAACTGCTATGGATAATGTTGGGAATATTCTCTCTCACACTGCAGATCTTTCTGAATGATCCTCAGTAGGGATAACTTCTTTTCCATATATTTTGATTTTTTTTTCCAGTTGTAAGAAAGGAAAATGGTCTTTGTCTCACAGAAATATTGCACATCATAAGAATAAATCCATCAAAAATCATAAGGCACTAGGTACTTCGATGCATTGGAACAAAAAGATGATCCTTAGCCTGAGGTTCTTAGTCTTAAACATGGAAGAAAATGCTTTGAGGAGCCCTGCGGGGTTACGTCAGAAACCTTAACAAAGACAAACTTGTACATCTGTAGGGACAGGTCCATATCCATTGATTTTATTTATTTATTCCCCTTGTCCCCCCTCTCTCCTGACTTCTTTTGAGAAGGAAGCCTTTGAAAAAGCTGAGTTCCAGGATCAGGACTCTTCTCCTTGGGCCTATCCTGTGATTTTCCTTATTCTTTGATTGCTATAGTCTACTAGAGGTTTGTTGTACTCGGACTACCATGAAATGKTTAGCAGTTCTCAGCTTTATGGGGAAGAATGAAGATGCCTGTCAGGTAGCAAACCCTGGCCAGAGCTGAGCAGCTTCTGCTTTTCTGTGCTGGAGGGGTGGACTTCTCTCTTCCTGCTGAACGCAGGGAAGGGGCTGATGGCCCAGGACGCAGTCAGCAGAGCCCTGGGATGTTGGGGGGGCTGCTGCTGTGGCCATCTGGGTGCATCTGCTCTTCCCACCACTCCGTCCCTGCTGCCCCATCCACTGGTCATGAGGACACTGAGCACTGGGGCGYTGGACTAGGAAATAATAGTCAGAGGAGTAATACGGTCTTGTTACATTTCCACATTATCCCGTCCTCTTAAAATGTCTTTTCCTTGGCCTCTAGGACTCTCTCCCAAATGCATCATCTTCTACTATTTATTCCCATTCAAACTGAAAGAAAATGTAGGAGAAAAGCAGTAATTACTGCAGTAATTAAACAGAGACCATCCTACCCTTCACATCCTCCTTGCAGATGAGCTGTACTGTATGCACCAGCTCCAGTAGAATTTGTCCTTTGACACAGTATGAGCTATTTTTGAGCACGCTGTGTTTAGACTGCAGCAACAGGAATCTGCTGGCCCTGTAAATGCATCCTAGCTGGACTTTGACAGCTTCCAGATCGCTTGTATCATTATTTTATGACTGCTTGTTTGACATGAGGTGTTTGATTGGCTTTTCTTTACTGTGCTAATAGGATGACAATAAACAACATGTGACCTCACGGGAACAGGACTTGGTAGAACAGAACAAGCTCTAGAGCAGTAAAAGAAAAATAAGAACTTATATTAAGAAGGATGCCTTGATTTTTTTTTCCTCCTCTTCCCTAAAACAATATAAAGCCATCTGAAGTTTCTTAGCTAGTAACCAATTTAATAACATCCATTCTGTTACAATTATTTCTTAAAAACACTACTGTTATGAAATAGAACTCTAAACAGCATCACTACATTACTGTGTAAGGCAAGGCATAGGATTGGCTGGTAGAAGTATCTTTTTCATCCAATTCATATAACTAAATCTAATAAAATTATAATTATTAACTACTTTCAATGGGATGTTAATTTCAATTATGTTATGAATAGTATCACCATCTCATTAGACTTAAAAACAAGGCTAATACTGGATTTTGACATCTGGTAGTTAACTTCAGCCTATAGATTGTGATACAACCATACTAGCTTCTCACAAAAATTACTAGCAATACAAGTTCTAGTCAAATCCTCAAGCATTTGATACTTCTCTTTAAAGGAATCAAATATGTGGCAAAAAAATGGGTTACTTGGTGATATAATTTCTGATTTAAAACAAACAAACAAACAAAAAAAMCCTTCTAAAATAAGGACCTYACTCAGAAAGTCAATTTCTAGCAAAATCCTTTCTGCCAAAATCCTAACCTGACAATGCCATATATAAAACATCACAAGAACTACTCCCAGCACACTTCATTATTTGTGAATGGCTTCAAATCTGAAGTCAGACAGTATGAATGTGTCACATGGTGAGACGCATGCTTTTAAAATAAACCCTACAATTTTATCGTGTATCARCTCCACTGCTTGTACACTTAAAATTCTCTATTTGCAGGAGAGCAGATGTTTCCTGTGTTAACTTCGGTGCACATATGCAATTGATAAATCGAGAGGAAATTAATGAATTGAGAAGATAAGCCAATCTGGGCCTAGAAGCTCTCCAGCTGTGAATGGAAGTGATTTATCACTGAGCTAAAGGATCAGCTTTTCTAGCTCCAACCAGCAGATACATCATGACATTTAATCCAGACTTCCGCGTAGCTGTATAGGAGTTCTGTGACCGACTTCATCAAAGCCAGGATTTCACCCATAGTGCTTAGCTAGATGGAAAGCTCACTCCCCACAGTTGTTTTGCTTATTTATTTAGTAAATGTAGATTTTAAATTTCTGTAGCAGAGGGTAAAAAGATCAGTTTGTGCACTTAGGCTAGAAAGAGAGTGCAGCTGTGGTGGCTTAACATGGCAAAAGGAGAGTGAGATTAATGCTCTCCTTTTAAGCTTCAGCAATGAGTGGATAGTCATCCTGTCATTGTTTGTGCCTGCCCAAACTAGTGAAAATTTCAGACCTAAAGCACATGCCTGGGTGGAAACACAAGGCCTGTAATATGTATACAAGCTGTAATCAGGTAAGTGTGTGTGGAAAGAGAAATTTAAGATGACGTTTGCAAATGTTTAGATCAGGACACTGCATATTTTACCTGCAAAGAGACTCGGCAGAGTAAAATGTTTCCAAACCCCACTGCTCTGTGGTGTAAAGGAAAGCTGAACTAGCTAGACAGAAATGAAACTGCAATTCAGATTCTGAGAATTTGTCATATACACATTCACTTTTTATGCAAGCATAACTAGATAGAGCTGACTTTAACATTTGCGCTCCCAACATTTGCATAATTTCCATGAATTAATTTGCTATGGACCTAAAAAGCAACTGTGTCAGTGCAAGCAAGGAGAGGGGGACCTATGACCAGGGCAGACCCTTTCCAGTGACAGCTGGYTGTCAGATCACTTCAGATGTCATGCTACTCCATATTTCTCACAACTAGTGTTGTTAGAATTTCTGCTGAACTGAGTGTCCATTTGTTTAGATCTTAGCTGAAAGAGAAAGTATAAACATCTTTTAACCTGAAAATCATCTCTGAAAGTTATTCTTTTTTTCTATTTTTTTTTTAAAGAAAACCTTTTTATCATTAAGTTTAGAGCTTATCTTCAGGTTACRTTTTCTCGTAGTCTTATAAAGTGCAAAATGTTACCTTCAGAAAGAGGAAAGAATGAATGCAGTTACCGGATTAGGTCTAGCAGTGCATCTGCAGAACTCATGATTTGCTTTCCCCCCTCTTCAGTGCTCTCCTTCTGCGCTGCTCCCCCAGGATGGATGATGGAGACCATAATTATTCCCACAATCACAGCCACGAATGTTGTCCACAGATAGTAAGTGATGGTTATGATTCCCAGGCGACTAGAAGTCTTGGCATCTAGGGCTGCTAGTCCAGACATTAAACTGTGGAAAGAAAACACAAAATAAATATTATCTTTTGCATATAATCAATACAACATAAAACCTCATTTTCTACTTATTCTGGATGACCTCCTTCTCTCCTGATTGCTGTATATCGGGATTTGTAGGAGCTGTGCCTGTGACACAATCTCTAACATCTATAGCTAAAAAGATGTTTCCTAGTAGCCAGGTGAGATCTCAGTTACTTGACAGAACTTGAAACTCAGCATGCACATGTTTGGTCAGAACAGTATCGAGTGTAAATGATAGTTATACACAACCTGCTGGATCTATTGTGATAATCAGTCATAGGAACTTAGGTATGAAATTCTGTGCACAATTTTATAGACTTACAGGATGATTAAGGTTGGAAGGGACCTCTGAAGAGCATCTAGTCAGCACAACTACCTCTCAGCTCTTTCCTGTGTGAAACAGGACTAGTTTATATCTAGCTTCAAAGTGAGATTAGGCTGCTAAGGGGCAATTTTGACACATAATTCATTTTTTTTACATAGTAGCATAAAGTTTTAATTTTATATAAACCCYATATGAAGCATAGCATATTTTTGTTTTATTATGGGGCATGTTGGGGAGCAGGGAGTGACTCAGCATGCCTCCAAAGTGGAGACAGGCTCTGTGTCTTCTCTGTGCACTTCACTTCCCTCTTTGCCTCCCTGCTCAGCACTGTCAGAGGATGATCAGTGGTTTTGCCTTTGCTGAGCTAAACCACCCTAAGTGCTTTAAGGTGCAGTGCCCCTCTTGTACAGGCAAATAAGGACACTGCTTGGTCCCTGTATTAGCTCCAGGCAGCTCAGACAGAGCCCCAGATGGTGCTGTTTTCAAGTGGTCTTTTCAGTCACATAGTGACATGGGGCTTTAAACTTGAAGTTTGACAGGCGCCTGAGCCAGTTTAACAGCTCACTGATGCCCAAAGGAGATGTATAGACTACAAATCAGGGCAAGCATACATTGAGTTGGAAAAAAGAGTAGATGGAGACAATGCAGTTTTTAAGTATACATGCATTTTTATCTGTGTTAATCTCCTTTCATTTTTTTTTCCCCCTCTCTAAAGTGTAGGTTTCATACCATAATTACCCTGGTGTAGTTGTATGAAGCAATTATCTTCTGCTGTGTTACACTGGTTCTGTAGAACAMTAGGAGGATGTGCCCTGTTACACATAACATGAGAACTGCTTTGATTGTATGTTCAAAAGCAGTTGGGGAAAAAATAAGTCRAATGTTTCATATGTCTTTTGTGGGGGTCACCTCAGTCTCAAATGCTGTTCATGTAGATCTGGGGGGATGTTGCACGACTAGAGTCTAATCATACACTGGCTCCTAGGTGACAAATCCTGAGGGGGCTAATAATGAGATTGCTCTGTCTTGGGGATATTCATTAACAAGATCATCATCTGTAATGAGATTATCCTGTCATCAGATAAAGTCATGATCAGTTCATGCTGTGATGAGAAAGTCCTCAAAAGTAATTAACTATGGAGGTGCAACAGGGGTAACCGTGGAGTAGTAGAAGTCCAAACAATGGTCTGGATTCAAAGCCGTGTTCCTAGTGTCCTGCAATGCTCAGTTTTAAGAAGGGACCAGAGGAAACAGTTCTTCAAAGGCTGTCTTGTAACATTAATCATGTCATTTAAAGCAGTTATTCATCATGACTTTCAAGAACAAATGCCTGTAACTAGTGTAGGACTATAGTCTCTCACTATTTTTMACGTGGTTTCATATGCTTGATATGAGAAGGAACAGAAAATATTGAAGTTAATAGACACCAATGATCACAGTTATTGTATGAAGTAAGCAATATGCAGTGACACCACAGGTTTTCCTCACTGCTGGTATCTAGAGCTCAAACATTTGTATAATGTAGTGGAGAAATGACAGGAAAAGTAGTCTTTTTATTTCCTGGGAATTACAGAAGTTGGGAGGAATAAGCCTCCAAATGGCTTCCAGTAAGATTGCTGTATTGTGTTCAGATTTTCCTTTTAATTCCAGTYTTCATCAGACATATTCTTGGCTATGTAAAAATCTTTTCAACACTTTCCCAACTTTATCTAAAGCTGAGACAGAAATGTTCCTCTACTTTTCATCCAGTACTAGGCTCTCATGCAATGCAAAGGAATGAAAAATGGGGAACCTTTAATTCTGATTGGGGAACCCAAATCTGATTAGACTTGAAGTAACAGGTGAATGAATAAAATCATATTTTCAATCAAAAACGATTATTTGATTCATAGGTTAAAACTATCCAACCAATTATGTAGCTAGGCAGCTTCCATATGTATGTTTCATGTATAGCATGTTTTAATGATTGCCAAAGAGGAGAGGAGAAAAACAAAACAAAACAAAACAAACCAGGAATAAAACAATGAAAAGCACTTTGCACCTTTTCTGGTTATTTAGAGTACTCCACATTAATCAGCTTGGCAAAGAATTTACACAATTTCTTGTAATTTCATGTTCAGGGACTATTTATTAGTTTTTACTGAAAAGACTACATCAAGCCTAAGGCTTTCAAAGTATGTGTTAGTGAGGTTTTGGATGAGATATTACACCTTGTATTCCACAATTTAAGGCAAATCTCTAATTACTATGATTTAAGAGGTTTCTTGMATCTTGTTTTGCAACATCTGCTGCTGGACACAAACACAAGACACCCTAATAAATATGATAGCTCCATGACTACTTTACCTGCTGCATAGTTTGTTTCTGTTATATGAAAATATTATCTTTCTATAGCTTTTCTTTCTGCTGTCTAGGATAGCCTGCTTATTTTTCTTTTTCTTATAGCTTCCTTGCCCAATAGATCTCAGGTGAAATTGTGTATTTGTGAGGCCTAATTATGTTTGAAAAAAATAGCTTCCAAAGATGTTGTATATACTAAATATCTGTGTGAGTATTTGTGCTATGATTCCTACATTTCTGTGGTTTTCAAGCCTCATTAAAGTTGGTTTTCTGATAACCTGAAAATCTCCACACAGCATAGATCTGATGCTCCATAATATTTACGGGTTGAAAATACTTTTTAAGGTGCGTTCTTAAGAAGTAAAAGATGTCTTTTTTTTTTTTTAAGACTTAGGTAGTTCTGTGTCTGCTTTTTTTTTCTGGGAAATCAGTTGTTCTGATGCAGCCAGAACTGTTTTTTTTCTCCTCTATCTATCTAATCCTGTTTGCTATTAGGCAAAGCAAGTAAGGAAGTCAGTAAATTTGCTCTGAATTTGCAGCATTTTGATCATAGCTGGATATGGACAACGATTTTACTGAAGTTTAAGGAGTTGCTTGTATCATTTCCATGTGACAAATATTTAAGAGTTAATTATTCCACTGATGATTGTTAGTGTAGAAAACTGTGGCTAAATTATTTTTATCTAGAATGGCTTGATTAAAGTTTGTTTACTTGGACAGTTTCCATATGATTTATGAAAGGCTACGATTTTAGGCCTACGAACAAATACATGACTTTGTTATTGTTTCTTTGCTGCAGGAGGAGGGTAAACGGGGATCTCAGGATCAGTGGGAGAGCTAATGAAATGTAGATTAAGGTCTTAATGAGAAATTGGAAGGAAGGAGGAAGACCTCCACAAGTACAGGGGCTATTTTTAACAGGACTGGTTAAGAATGCAAGTCAGTTGTTACTTGTTTTAATTATTGTCAATGGTACAAAGAATTAACCTGTTAAATACTATGTTTTGTATCTGCTTTGACAAAAACCTGCAGAAAACCTCAACATCCATTATACTTTCTTTTTTTTTTAATGACAAAGAGAATTCTTTCAATACCTTAGAAATCTAACCAGTTCAGTGCGAACAAGTAGCTACCCCTTTGAGCAGCTCTAACCTTGCTTTGTCTGACACTGATAAAATTCAGTACTTATGGTGTATTTTATTTACAAATAAAGACTGAACTTCCTAGATTCCTTGAGGATTTTCTACTTTTTTCTATTGCTTTCTGATAAAAAGCACATTTTTGCTGACCTGCCTCAACATTAAAACCTATATCCTCAGAAAAGCTTTTGCCTATAAGAAGCTGCTGCTAAGACTCCATTCTGCATATGTATTCGTCTTCTTCACCACCAGAAGCCATCTGGATATTGCTTTGAAATAGATGGATTATGGATAAAGCTATCAGAAGGGATTAGGGCGATTAGAAAGACATTAATCCTGTCAAGAAGTAATGGTCAAGTATTAACCACCAACAGTTGTTCCTAGAATCATGTTTGTTTTCATTCATCCCCCATCCTTCCTCTCATTCTCATTTTGTAATTGCATGCCACAGGAAAGACCTTCCTAAGCAAGTTCTCCCAGCGAGGCTGGAAAGCTCCTCTGGCAACTACATTAGAGATGATTATATTACAGTTGAGCAGCATGAAAGGGAAGTGCTGGCTACACTAATGCTGCTTCATGCGGGCAGGCTCTCTACCTTTTTGTCAAGGTCAGGCCTTTCAAGTTTCAACATGGTAATAATCTCCATTTCCACAGCATCAGCCATTCAATCATCTTAAAATGTTTTTCTGATATAACCATCTATCATGTAGGAGGTAATGTTTCCATTTTACTGACAAGGAAACACAGAATATAAGGAGCTTACTTAAAGATAAACAATTTGCAGTGAATATGCCAGAAATGATCCTTGCACTGAGAAGGACCAGCAGCATTTCCTGCTTTTGGGACAGGCTGCTCCACTGCTGTGGAGGTGCCTTTCTGGAACACTTGGCAGCAATGAAAACAGGAGACTTTTCAATAATGACAGAAAGATGAAAAACTTCCTGGCTCTTTCTACAGTATGATACTTCATTTTGTTTTTAGTCTCCAAAAGAGTTTAAATGATTCAGAGTTTAAATGATTCCAGGTAGTGAGAAAGAGGGGTCAGAATAACTTCTGCTTTCCAAAMTAAATACTCTTGCTTTCTTCTTAAAATGAGTACAGAGCCAGAATACCCCCAGACCTCACTGTCACGAYAGTGACAAAGTCGTCTGCTGCTGACAACACATG